GAAACTGCCACAGCTGCCTGAGATTCAGTCCTCTGAGGCCTGCTCCAGGTTCATGTGGTGCACCCACACCAAACTGCGCTCCTCTCCCAGCCCAGCGTGATACCTTTCCGATCAACCATCCAGGTTATCTTGGGCTGGAAATTTGTTTCACTCTGTCTTCTTGTGGATTCTGTTGCTTTAGAATTTATTTAGAGCCGTTTTTTATAGGTATTTGGAGGGGTTTGGGGGAGAGCTCAAGCAAGTCACTGCTTTCACTCTGCCATCTTGGCTCCGCCCCCTTCCCCAGAATTTTTTCTAACACTGAGTTGCAGAACACTTAGTAGAGGGAGCTTCTTCATTGGGAGCTAGCCTTGCTGATGAAAAACATTTTATGTGTGTGTGTGTGTGTGTGTGTGTGTGTGTGTGTGTGTGTGTACAGATATATCGTGTACACTGTCTCAGAATATTTTAACGTCTCCTGCAACATATGTGCTTCTTTAAATAAATCTGACACGTTAGCAACAGCTGGGTTTGAAAATGGATGACATTCTTAGTAGGAGTAACATTAAGTACAGATCGAATAATGAGACCTATGTGAGCTCTCCAGGGAGTATCACACAAGCCATCTTAGATTGTTGGCTTAAGTGATGACTTCTCATGCTGGTGTCTATCTTCTATATTTATCCACAGTAACTAGAAGCTATATGGTTTCTTTCATGATAATTCTTCTAATCTGATGATAATATATGGTGTTCTCAATTTACTCCTATTTTTCAAGGCTTTGATTTTTCTGTATATTTAGGTAATTGTCTAGAGCAGAGTTCCCAAACTTATTTGACCTGCTGCCACCTTTAAAAAAAATTGCTCAGCACCCCCTGGAAATCTACTTTCTTTAACCCTTTAATTTTTTAAAAATTGGCATCATTTCAAAAAAAATAAGATTTTTTTTAAAAAGTGACCCATTTTAAATTTAATTATTTAGTGTAAATTTGTGGGTTTTTTCCTGCATTGAAAATTTGATGACATGATATTGGTCATGTAGCCATATAGCATTGTATTGTAAACAAGTCATTGCACGTACATATTCCTGCTGATGTATGCTGGACTTTCCTGCAATGTGCAACATGCTCACCTGCCAACACTTGCTTATTAAGACCTGTTGGTGGACTTGACCACTGACCAGTTATAGCTTTCATTTTGTGTGTTTATTTGGAAAATAATGCAATCAATATGACTTTTAACTCTGTTACACAAGAAATGAAACATGCATGAATTTTTTTTCAAAATTTTCTTCTCTTCTTTCCTTATGCTTCCATTGCCCCCTTCTTTTTGTTTCATGCCCTCCCAATCTCCTCTGCATTTCCACCTGAGCCTGCTACTGGCCCCTCCCCCTCCATCATTCCAGCAGTCACCAGGGGGTCTTGTAGTTGTTATTCAGTTGCTCAGTTATGTCTGACTCTTTGTGACTCTGTGGACCATAGCATGCTAATGCTGAGCATGGGGTTTTCTTGGCAGAGATACTGGAGTGGTTTGCCATTTCCTTCTCCAGTGGATTAAGGCAAACAGAGGTTAAATGTCTTGTCCAGGGTCACAGAGTCAGTAAATGTCTGTAGCCAGATCTGAATTCAGGTCTTCTTGACTCCAGGTCCAGCACTCTATCCACTGAGCCACCTAACTACCTCTGCTTGGCTCATAGAAGGTCCAACCACAATTCTGGGGAACCAATGATGGGGCATATCACTTACCTCTTGAAAGAGACCTACCTACAAGAGGTAGAGAGAGAAAATAAATAGTCATTAATTGGAAAAAAAATAGATGCTTATTGAATTGAATGAATTTGAACTCGTGAAACTTCTCATTATCAGAATGGTACAGAAGTAAGAGCACTAGATTAGAGTTAGAGGGCATAGATTGGAGACTCTCTTTATCCTATGTGATCATGGGCAAGTCACTTAATCTCTCCAGGCTTTGGTGTCTTCATATGGAAGAGGGGTGTTGGTGTTGGACTAGATTAGCAATGACAAACTCAAATATACATAGAAGACACTCATCTGTATGCACAAATCCTTACAGATCACATTTGACCTGTTGAGGGCTTGCACTGATGGGTTTGAGGATATAGCTCATGTCGGGATGTTCCTGTTGCTCTCCATTATCTAAGAGCCATCTAGGTCAGAACGTAGGCTCTCCGACCTCTTCCAGGTGCTGTCTGTCCCTTGAGAGGATGAAGGATTTTTCAATGAACCTTGAAAGATAATCGGAAAGTTAGGAGATGACTCCGGGGGGATACGCCCCCGAGTTACTGTTACCATGAGAAAAATTAATTGTTGATACTTGGTTTTTTCCACTCTTGATTCTGTTCCCACGAATGGGGTATAAAACCCCTAACTCTTAGATCAACAAATGGACCTTGTTTATAACTTGCTACCCCCTGGTCTGCATTTCTCTCTCTCTCTCTCTCTCTCTCTCTCTCTCTCTCTCTCTCTCTCCTCTCTCTCTCTCTCTCTCTCTCTCTCTCTCTCTCACTCTTTTCAGCCTCACCGGAGATTAAACTTCGTAGTGGACTCAGAAGTCTGCTACAGGTGGCGCCCAATGTGGGGCAATCGGGAGCCTGAAAGAGTGGTTTCCCCCGGTGAGGAGCCCTTGACCAAGGTGGGCTGCCTGGCCAGCAGCTCTGATAAGGAGCGCTCCACCCGTCTGAAACAAGACGGGAAACGGGGTCTCCCGCTGTTTGAAATAAGACAGCAAAAGGATCTCAGGACGGGAAAAGAGGCGATTCCCGCCCTTTGAAAAAAGACGGCAAACAAGGTAAGGGCAGTAGATTCTTTCTAAGTAGTTTTATTCACCAGGTTAAGCGGAATTAGAAAAATAGATTAGTGTGTATGTTTTGAAAATACGCAGTAAAAATGGGACAACCTTCATCAACAGAGCAGAAAGGCAAAGAATATTATTTACAAGTATTACAATCATTAGCAATAGACAGGGGATTATTCATCACTTTTGGACAGCTGGTTGACTCCCCCTCCACACTCTCCATGCCCTGAGCTGTAAAGAAGGCTCAAGTGGCAGGATGAGAAGTCCCTATAAAACTACAGATTGCTTTGCCTCTTATAAACATCAAAACCTTAAGAAAGCTTTTGCCTGGTTTTTGAATACCATGAAAAGAAAAGATAAAATAAAATAAAAAACAGTATTATTGTATTTTGTGTAGGGGATTTCTGACAAGTTTCTCACTTTTAGATTCTCCCTGTCATTTTGTTTTATGTTTGTCTCTGTCTGTGTGAATGATGGTCTGTGATTAATGTTTATAATTTTGTTTGATCCTTTTCTGTCAGGCAGCCAAGGGCTGGCAACTGGATTCTGAAATGCTGCTAGTGACTTTCTCCCTTTCCCTCTCCCTAATACCAGCCGCATTTCCTGGCAGCCAGTGGCTGGGGGAGAGAATGGAGAAAAAATACTTCATTATTTAGGTTATATGTTTGATAAAAAGCAAGTTGAGAAAGATCCACGAAGCGTCAGGTCAGAATTAGAAAGATGGTAGATATGTGCAGTTTTAAAGGGACTTGAATCATAGTCCATCAGAGGGATAATTAGGTAGAAGGAAGACAAGAAAGTTCAAGCATGTCGGGATGAGAGGAGTATGTGTTGAAAGCTTAAGGAAGGTATAATTTATTTGCACAGTGTGAACAGAGGGTTTAAGAGCAAAAGATTTGGAAACTTTTAGAGAATTGATAGGAAGAAATTCTTTCTTTTTGCATTCTAAAGCTCTGGCCCAAAGCTTTGAATGTACAAAGATAAGTTATTGAAAAATATTCTCTTCCTTTCTCTCGCATCCCAACGTTGGCCAAGTTGGGGTGCGGAAGAAAGAGAATGAGAAATAGAACAGGTTAAGTATTGGAACACAATCAAAAGATGATTTAATTTATTCAAATTAGTAATATGTTCGTTTCAAATTTTAAAAATATAATATTGCTTCAAATTGGTAAATTTTGTGTGTTATGTCAAGCAATTTTTAATAATTTGGATGTTATTAAAATGTGAACTAAAAGAGAGTGGAAAAGCTGTGTAAAGCCAGCTAGCGTATTTTATCAAGTCCAGTAAATCTTGTTTTATAATATTCTGTAACTGTCAATTAGAAAATCAGGTATTCCCATCTTTTCCTATGATTAACAAACAACTTGAGCTAAAACAATTAAATATCATTTATGAAAATTACCAAATTGTTAATAAGTTATTTGAAGTCACTGTTTTAAAGTTAAAACTTAGACTTCTTAATTACTTATGTGAGTGAAAAGGAGGGGCACAAGGCAATTCCCTTTACTTTGTAAGTTTGCCAAGGCTCTTAGCAATCAGCTCTCTGAGCAAGGTCCTCTGCTCTGAGAGAAGAATTTGTTTATGTTATTGAGTTCCTAAACAATTCATTTAGCTTACTGAGAAATTGCAACTTTATATAAATAATTTCTAATAATTGGCTTTTTCACCAAGACAAGTTTCAATTTGGCATAGAAAGGATGTTAAGTAAAATTTCTTATATATGTGAGTCCTAGTAAATCTTTACTGCTTATTGTACTTCTATGAAAATAAAATTAACTGTATCTGTCTTTAAGCCATAATTAGTGAAACTTACTATTGGAGGTAAAAGACTCTTAGGAGTATAATTAATTTTATTTTAAGTTTGAATTTGGGTATAGTTATCTCCATCAAATCAGTATTTGAAGTTTTCTTATTATGTTCTTTTAAGAAAGAATGTTTCCCACCAGGGGCCAAAATTTTATTCCTAAAAACTATTATACCTGTTAGGCAAAAATATTCCCAGGCAAAAATGATTTATTATATGGGTGATAAACTTTACAGTTATCCTACTACTACCAAACTCTCCTTATTAAGGCCCAAGTTTTAACAAGCCTTTCAGTCTCATTGATTTCTAATTACTCCTTAAAAGGTATAAAAGAAATCACCCTTTGCTTACTTTAAACTTTAGACATTTTGGTTCACAGTCTACAATTAGACCACCAAAATACTACAAATTAGTCAAGATTCCTTAATAACTTCTAATAATTTTCAAATATTTTTTAAAAAATATTAATTAGCTTTAACCTACCTAATAGATCACTACTAATCAATTATTTTAAGATGAATTTAAACTAGTAGAATAAACATAGTTGAAACTCAATTAATTCCCCTTAATTTGTGGGGCATAATATTTCACATTTAATGAGAACTGTTATTTTCTCCCCCCCCCCACTGTTTGTGCTTTTCCTATGCATAAAACTGACAAAAATACAAAAGAAATCTAATAAATCTGTTGGGGTTCCTTAAAATTCACCTGTTTTTATTATTGAAAAGAAGTCAGGAAAATTGACAATGCTTTATGACTTCCTGGCCTTTGATAGTTATTGATTTAAAAGATTGCTTTTTTACTATTCCATTACAAAAAGCTAAAAATGATATGTTATATGGTGACGTATTTTGTAGGTGTTCCATTTAAAGTGAACTCACACATTTATTATTGCAGCTTTAATTAGCTTTACAATACTCTGGGCTTATTATAGCCCTGGAAAAAGTTTAAGACAAATCTTCACTCTCCTACCTAGGTCATATTGTCACCAAAACAACAGTGAAACCACAAAAAGTACATTTACCTCTTAATTCTTTAAGAGCATTTAATTTTAATGATTTTCAAAAACTTCTAGAGCACATTAATTGGCTCTGACCACCACTCCAAATTACTACAGAACACTTGTGGAATTTCTTTTTTATATTAAGAGAAGATCCTTATTTAAAGTCCCCTAGCATATGAACTCTTAAAGCAAAATATGAGCTTTAATTAGTCAAACAGAAAAATTCCTAAACTCATTTCACCATATTTCTTTTAGAAGTGCCAGGTGCTGTTCTTAGTACTCCAGTGTCCTCCACAATTTTTAATTTACAGAAAAATGTATTTGCAGTTATTCAGCAACCTTATAATAAGAAATAAATAGACACTCTTGTTTCCTCTTTAAAAGATTGCCAAATTGCTGTTATTATTTTTTTCTGGTCATATTGATATTGATAATCACTAACCATCTCTCAAAATATTAACCCTTTTTACTAATTATTCAAGGGTATTTCAAAAAATTGTTAAATTTAACTTCATTCCTTCAACACCCACTGCGTTCACCAATTGGTTATATACAAATATATAACAGGATTTTGCTGAGCTTATCAATATTGTTTCTACTAGCAAATAATCTATTTATGTCTCTCAAAATACGTAGACTGCAAAGTTAAAATATATTACAAATACACAATTATATACCCCTTTATACCAACTTCAAAACTCACTCCATTCATGTTATTACCTTATCTATATTGCCTACATACAAGTACATTTTAATTTGTCCAGACTTTTTACTGAAAAGTAATACCGTTATTGATTCTTAATTACAATTCTACCCAACACTTTTACAAGTTATTAATTGCTAGCACTTGACCTTTTATTAAGTTTTTATTGAGCCTGTTATGGATTATATTCTGCCAATACAACCACCTTAACTATTGAGAAGAAAATATTTGGGGACTGTTTTTAAATAATACTCTTACACATGTTACTAAACATTTCCTTCTATTTCTTCTTTTTATTACATTTCTCTAATCATCAATATTTTATATAATTAAAAACAAAAATATTAATTTTTTTTTTTACAGAAAGGGGGAATCCGGGCTATTGCCCCTTATCAACAACTGGCTATTAATTTTTGATAATTGGTTATATTTTTTACAATTGGCTATTAACTCTCTAAATATTAACAAAGTTGAGTACACCTCAACCTAAAAACATCCAGAGGCCTAGATCCATTACCAAATCCATTACTAATGAGGGGATGAGGGTGTGCTTATATATTTTTCAGAAAACTTTGATAAAGCTGCCTGGATACCAGAGAAAAATGTCAGAGCGTGTATAACAACTCACAGCTCGAATGCAGAGTATGAGAATTCAGGGGAAGCACAGAAGGAGCCAATCTACAGTGATGAGTCGCCTTCCCACATAGAGGTCAAGTGATAGCTCCCTCTCATCGAGTGATAAAAGACTCCCAAACTTGTAGTTTTAGCAATAGTAGCTTTACTTTCTGCTCAAGTGTGTAATGTACAGAATGCTCAGCACTCAGGACTTCTTTTTCCTTTTCCACCCTGGTTGCAACCTATCACAAATATGGACAAATTGGGACTATATATATGCTAATAACACCTGTATATTCGGAAGACAACAAGATCCCTATCTCCAGGACAAAGTCAATGTTATGATTACCCTCGGATCTCTAGCATCCAGGACAAATATATGTTTTTCAAAATTTGGCAACAATATTGAATTATGTCTTTTCTTTGTTACATCATTTGTTAATGGATATGTAAATTTTATTCAATCTAATACTATTTTTGAATTGGAATGTGACTTGTGTCAATTGTACTCTCAACCAATGTATTGATCATAATGACTATGTTGTACTTTTGGTAAAACAATAATCATTTATTCTTTTCCCTACTAATATTTCACATGAATAGTTCCAGAACTCTGGAAAACATGCTCCTAAAATTATTATTTCCTCCTTAAGTCAATCAAAACAATTTATTGGTCTCCTTATTATTGGTTCAATCATTGTTGCTTCTTTTATTGTATCTACTACTGTTTTATCTATTGCACTTCAATTTGAAATGTGATTATCGCTATTCATTTATCTGTGTAACTCCATATGTGTATTCAAACTTTACTAATATAACTATTGAACAAATATTAAATAAGCTCCAAGCTGCATGGCACTCTGACAATATCGCCTGGGACATTAATCAGCTATCCAAAATACAACATGAAATTGCTTGATTCTCATATTGATGGTATTGATCCTAAAGATATTGCAAACAAATTGTTAGATTGGATTGATCAACTTAATCCTTTTAACAATGTATTAAGTTTGCTTATGACATTTTTTACCTTGGCTATGTTTTGTATTAATTTTGTGTTTCCTCCTTCCCTGCTTGTTAAAATACACTCGTCATACTTTAGGTAAGATTTTTTCATCCCTTCATCTCCTCAAGTTTAACAGTCAAAGGGGGGAGATTGTTGAGGGCTTGCACTGATGGGTTTGAGGATATAGGTCATGTCGGGATGTGCCTGTTGCTGTTCATTATCTAAGAGCCGTCTAGGTCAGAACATAGACTCTCCGACTTCTTCCAGGTGCTATCTGTCCCTTCAGAGGATGAAGGATTTTTCAATAAACCTTGAAAGGTAATCGGGAAGTGAGGAGACAACTCCGGGGGGATACTCCCCCCAGATACTGTTACCATGAGAAAAATTAATTGTTGATACTTGGTTTTTTCCACTCCTGATTCTGTTCCCACAATTGGGGTATAAAACCACTAACTCTTAGATCAATTAGATCAATAAATGGGCTTGTTTAGAATTTGCTACCCCCTGGTCCGCATTTCTCCCTCCCTCTCTCTCTCTCTCTCTCTCTCTCTCTCTCTCTCTCTCTCTCTCTCTCTCTCTCTCTCTCTCTCTCTTTCCTTCTTTCTCTTTTTCACTCTCTTCAACCTCACCGGAGATTAAACTTCATAGTGGACTCAGAAGTCTGCTACATTGACCTAGTTTTGAAATATAACATTATCTATGTTTTATCATATTTTTATCTATCTTGTTAAATGTTTTCCAATTACATTTTAATCTTGTTTGGGCCATGCTCAGGAGCAATGTGCTCCGCATATGGCCCTGGGCCATATGCTTGATACCTCTAGCCGAGAATGATCTGTAAGACCCCTGCTACCTTTGCATCTGTGATGCCATGACAGCAGAGTCAATGGACTTGTGAAGGTACCACATGATGTAAATCTACCTACTGAGTGGTCATGTCCATATAACACCTCAGTTCTCAGATTTCAATTCAAGTCCTCTTACTTTGGGTCCAGCTAGGTTGCAGAGTGGTTAGAGTGCTGGTTTTGGTGAAAAATCCTGCTACTTTCCTGTGTAACTTTGGACAAAAGAGTTTGCCTCTTTGGGCCTCACTTTTCTCAGTTTTAAAATGAGAGTGTTAGACTAGATGACCTAAGATTCCTTCTATCTGTAAATCTATGATTCTCTGTCACAATTAGGTTCTTTTTTCAACACACTCAGGAGTATACTTGAGGCAGCTCAAACAGTCCTTGAGAGCTGATTAAATTTTTAGTGTGAGCATTTACACATCAGAAATTGGCAAATGCTATACATCAGGGCTTGATTTATTGTTTTATTGATTACCTGGACTTTAACTAATGGACAAAATGTGGATAATGCAGATTAACCTGAAAAGTATATGACATGTGCAGGTTTTGTTTTTGTTTCAGAGAGCCAGTTGTTAAACATTAACCAGAATGCTTCTGATAAACCAGAACTGAACAAATCTATATACACAATAAAAATTAGTCCCTCCAGATATACAGTAGCTATGCCTTAGCTCTCTTAAAGGAGGATTATGGTTAGTGTGTATTCAAAATGAGCTGGCTGCTACAGACAGGTTTGTATCTGCAACTTCCTTACACTTCTTCTAGACAAATACATGAGTTTCTCAGCCAATTATTGTACCCAGGAGTAATTGTTTTTCTTCTCATATCTTGCTCGAACACTTGGCTGGATGGCAGAAATGGGGTAGAGGGAGGATTTTCTCCATTCTTCTGATCAGCTGGAAGGTCCCCTAAAAGTCAATTCTTTGAACCTCCTCCTTTTACAGATGAGGAAACTGAGGCTCAAAGTGATTTGCCCAAGTCCATCCAAGTAAGTGATAGAGTTTGGATAGGAAACCAGGACCTTTGCCTCTAAGTCCAGTGTTCTTTTCACTAGACTGCCCTCTCCTTCAAAAACGGACCTTGGTTTTAAAGCTGGAAGGATTCTCAGAAACCAGGCAGTCCAATGCCCACATCTGGTGGATGACGAAATTAAGACCCAAAGACATTAAATGACTTCTGAAAGCACTAGACATGGAATTTGAAACCAGGTTCTTCTGAGCCTATCTTCTTTGTACCGTACTTGACTTGAAGGAAAAAGGAAAGATGGGCCATTACTTCCTGGATGCAAAGGAGAGAAGCCAGTTGAAAACTAACTACTATCAATGGAGTTTTGGGTTTTGCGGCCTAAGAAGGGCTCAGAATTCAGAATTCATACTTATTGTATACTATGGCAAGTGGTCTAGTTTATCTATCAACAACTAGCTCCAGGAATAACTACTATTTATGTTGTGATTTCATCAAAAATAAACTTGTGAGGCAGATAGTATAAGTGTCATATTATTATTCTCGTGTTAGAGAAAGGGAGACTGAAGTTAAGAGAAGTTAAAATTGGCACTGATCTCATGGCCAGTAAGTAGGAGAACCACGACTTGAACCCAGGTCTTCTGACTTTTAAGTGTAGAATGCCTGTCACAGCACCATACTGACTCAATCAAATTATGCTCAGAGGAAAGATGAGTGATTATGTGATAGAAAGATTTAGCATCCAAGCAGCAAAGGGGGTCTGTGGATAGAGCACCGGGTCTGAGTCAGGAAGATCTGCCTTCAATTCTGGCCTCAGATAATTACTAGCTCTAGTTACTAGTGTGGCCATAGGCAAGTCACTTAACCTTTGCTTGCCTCAGTTTCCTTAACTGAAAAATGAGGATAATAACAGCACCTTCCCCCAGGATGTGTGTGTGTGTGTGTGTGTGTGTGTGTGTGTGTGTGTGTGTGTGTGTGTACTTACTAGCTGTGTGACCCTGGGTAAGTCACCTCCAAAAAAGTGCCTCAAAAGAAAAAATACCACATCTACCTCACAGGGTTGTTGTGAGGATCAAATGATATAATATTTTGTAAAGTGCTTAGCCTAATTCCTGGCACATGTTAAGCACTACGTAAATACTTCTTCTGTACTCTCTTCCCCCTCCTCTTTTAAGGAGTACCAAGTTAATTCTAGATTCATTAAGAGTCTAGATGTGGTCCAACACAGATCGCTAAAAATGAGTTTAAAGGAATTTGATTTAAAGGCAGTGACAAAATCTGGCTTAAGAGATAAGTGAAGAGAGTAGGGGTGGGAAGGCTATCTGAGGTGGATGGTATAGGGTGATAAAACTAATCTCTAGTGTATATAATTATGTTAATAAATCTATATCTGACTTCTGGTTGGGGTAAACAGGATTTTCCATCTCTTGCCCTCACCTTTACCCCCAAAGTGAGACTCTATCATTAGGAAGAAATCAGATATTCTTTGAAGGATGTCCAGGACTGGGGAAAATAAGAAAAGGAGGAGCAGTGAGAAAAATTTTAAAGAGAGAATTTTTAGTTGGAGAAGGTTTGGACTCCTTGGGGAGAGCTGAGAAGTTGGTCTTGTCCAGGAAGCCAAGAGAGTTTAGGTTCAGGAGGCAGTATGATTTAATGGCAAGACTGGTAGATTGTAAATCAGGACATCTGAGTACAGTCTCAACTACTAGTGTTACTTTCTCTCTCTCTCTCATCTGCAAAACAAGATCTAAAATTCAATACTGGTATCTAGACTAAATAGGGAATTGGCATGGAAATGTCTCCAAAGCTAGACTTGGTATCAATTCTTTGGTCCTGTGATTACATAACTTGCAGATTGTTTATATTTTATGTTCCCATTTGTGTGTAATAAAGTACTTTAAGCCGAACCTCCTGCTACACTGATTTAAGTGAACACTGATTCACATATATGTATATTTTGCATAATGTAATCAATGAGTCTACTCATAGGATTCTCTGATTCACTTTTTTACAATGTACCAGGTACTAGCACTACACAAAAAGTTGGTGTACCAAAGGAAGCACCCGGATGGCATTCAGGCCAATAGCCAGGACACAAAATTGCAAATTATTTTTCATGATAGTGCACCTACCCAATGAATGTAATATGATATATAGATAGATAGATAGATAGATAGATAGATAGATAGATGCATGTATGTATGTATGTATGTATGTATGGGAGCAGAGGTGATAGCAAAGTTGAGCATATTGAATAATAAAGTTCCATGGCTCTAGTGCTGATTGAGCTGCAGGCTGAAGAGTATCTAGGTTCTATCATCTCCTAAGCTGTTGATTCCCTCTCATTAGACTTTGATGGTCACCAGTTACTTCTCCCACGTGGCGTTATAGAGTGAGGAAGAGTGAGTCTAGGATGACATTAAGGTTGCAAGCTTGGGTGACTGGAAGGATGGTGATGTCTTCTATGGTAAGATTTGAACTGAACTGCCTCTAGAACATATAGCTCAAGGAGGCCAAAAGGCAGTTGGTGAAGTGGAACTGTAGCTCAAAAGAGAGACTGGGAATGGACATATAGATTTGGAAATCACCTGCATACAAATGATAATTGAATCTAGGGGAGCTGATGAGATAATAGTAAGATATTAGAGCAAGTAGGTGGTACAGTAGATAGAGTGTGAGGCCTGGAGTCAGGAAGACCTGAGTTCAAGTCTGGCTTTGGATACTTTCTAGTCATGTGACCCTGGGCAAGTCACTTAACTCTGTTTGCCTCAGATTCTCTATCTGAAAAATGGCAGAAGGAAATGGCAAACTACTCCAGTATCTTTGCCAAAAAAACCCCAAATGGGTCATGAAAATCCAGTAAAGGAGACTAAGGAATGGTCAGGCAGAACTAAATCTAGGAGAATGTCATAAAAATCCAGAGAGAAGAGGAAAAGGCAACCATTAGTATCAATACTACGGAGAGGACGAGAAAGATGAGGACTAAAAAAAAAGGCCATTAGATTTGACACTTCAGAAGTCATTGTAACTTAGATTTTTAAGATTTT